CGGGGAGCACAGATTCTTGCATAATGCATAACACATGAGGCATAAGAAATTGAACCAATCAGAGTTCTTTATTTCATAGAAAGGAAGGAAATGAAGGAATTCGATTGGCACATTTTTTTATGCATTACGTGTTAAGGCCCGTCTACAATACACGGAGTAAGAAGTAAGAGTAAGAAATTGACCAATCACAGTCGATTATTCTTCTCACATTCGACTATGATTGGTCAATTTCTTACTCTTACTTCTTACTCCGTGTATTGTAGACGGGCCTTTATGCAAGAGTCTGTGCTCCCTGCTTTAACCTGTCTTATAGCGTTTTCGGCCCGACCGGGTTTGTACCAACCTAGGTTGGATTAATGGCGTTTTGCGCTCTCCTATTGGTAGAGCGTGTAACATCAACCAATAGGAAAGATTAATCCAACCCAGGTTGGTGCAAACCCGATCGGGCCGAAAACGCTATTAACCAAATCGTTCAAGTTGGCTATTGGCCAACTTCACCGATTATGACCTAAAATAGCTTAGAACTTCTGACTTACGGCTTATGCTGGATTCACACTACATCCGATTTGCGTCGTACGACACTCTTCAACCAATCGGAAAACAAAATTCCGATGATACGAAGCAAAATCCATCGGAATTCTGTTTTCTGATTGGTTGAAGAGCGTCGTACGACGAAAATCGGATACAGTGTGAGGCGTCGTCTACAATACACGGAGTAAAAAGTAAGAGTAAGAAGTTGACCAATCACAGTCGAATGTGAGAAGAATAATCGACTGTGATTGGTCAATTTCTTACTCTTACTTCTTACTCCGTGTATTGTAGACGGGCCTTGAATCCAGCATTATTGTAGAAGGGCTGTAAGGCATAGTGCATAAGCGAATCAACCAATCAGAGTCCCTTATTTTCATCCCCACTTCTCGTTCTGTAGATCTTGCATAACGCATAAAGCATAAGACACAAGACGTCAAAAAATCCGTAAAGACAAACTTTTTATGCTATGCAGACATCATAAGCAACAGGAATACGAAGAATGCTTTCATTCTAGCCTGTTCTAACCTCGAAACGTGTGATAGATAAGTACGTTTAGACATCCCAGATAGGAATATGATGTATTTGTCATTATTTACAAAATTATATAATATAATGATATTGTATAATTATATAATATTATCTTATTTCCAATTGAGACATTCCAAATAGTACAAGCTTATGTACAAGCTTGTGCGTTGCTACACATTACGCTATGCGTTATGCCTTATGCATTATGCAAAAGTCTGTGTCGCGGTCTTAAGTCCGGATCTACAATAGGGTTTTAAGCCTTAAACCATAAGAAATGGGCGAATCACAGTCGCTTATTCTTCTCAGATTCGACTGTAATTGGTCAATTTCTTACGGCTTAAGGCTTAAAATACCTATTGTAGATCCGGGGTAATGGCCGTAGCACAGACTCTTGCATAACGCATAGTGCAAAGGGAATCAACCAATCGAAATTCTTTTTCATGGAATAGGAGGAAAGGAAAGATTCTGATTAGTTGATTCGCTTATATACACTATACATTATGCGATATGCAAAAGTCTGTGCTACAGCCTTAATTGTTCCAATCAAAATCCAGAAACAATCACATGCGAGAAAATGCGTTTCTGCTGTTAGTTCTGCCGGTTCCACTAATAAATATTGTTTTAATGCCTATCTACCAATAGAGGCCTGTTTTTTAAACTAAATTTCTTGCACCGTTCAGGTTTCTTCTTTTTCTCTTCATGTTAGAAAAAAGAGAAAAAATAAATCATGCACAAAAAGAAGTTCAGAAAGAGAACAAACCTAATATAAATTAATTTTAATCTCTGTTTAACTTAATTATTAGGTCTGTTTTTTCAGAGCTACACTCTGAATTGGTGCTTATTGCTGAACTTATTGCACTGGATTGTATCAGTTCAGAAAGTGCAGCAATAAAAAACAGACCTATTGTTTATTTTTTTTTGTTTCTGAAAATTAACCAAAGATAGAGAATAATTAAATCAAGATTAAAATTAACGTTAATAGAAATAAACATAATAATAAACAACAAAAAAACTCCAAAACCAGGGCGAATGAGAGTCAGAGTCATAATAATAAATTTGACCAACCTCCGATCAACTTAATTATATTGAGGAATATATTTATATCATTTTGTTATAACACAGATAAAATTATTAATTGTTTAATATATGGAAAATAGATCAATTAGGAGAAATAAAATACATATATAGTTTGAAATTTTTTTGCTTAGACAGAGCTTTAAACGATTCTATAGGTTGAAAGTGCGTGATCATCAAGTTTATGCCATTAATAAATCTGTTTCATCAGGAACAGACCAAAACATGCAAAAATAACATTCCATTAAAAATATAAAAGTAATTTTGATGTTTTACACAACTTTTTTTATAATTTCAAATAATTTTATTTTATTGAATAAAATGTTATATCTGTTTTTATGTATTTATATATTAGAGAATGTAAAAAAAACCTATAAATTGATTTCCGTTCTGTTTTTTTTATCATCCTTGGACGAAGATTCACTGTTGAGGGAGTTGTCATCCATTGTATTTGATTTGTCTAGTCCCATTTCTCTGTAGATGGTATTTTATCTGGCATACTGTTACTCACTGCTTTCGCTGCTTTTTTTTTCCTGATTCTCCGGTGCAATACGAATTTTTTATGAAAAAATGACAGCACTTGTAAGTCCATTTTTCATCTTGTCAGTAGGAACCTCAGATCGATATGTGATTATTTGGATAAACGTCCTCTTTGTACTTGGATCTTATCACTTGTCTGTTTTATCCTTTAATTATTTTACCGTACCTCAAATATTCAACATAGTGCTCAGTCTGCGTCAATAATAGAGCCTTTGGTGGTGCTTGGAGATGCTGTTTACTTCCATAACGCTCGATGACACTGTCATGTGCTTTGTCTTTCAATTTATCACGTTTCTTGTCATATTCCTGCTTCAATAATTCTAGTTTCGTAGACTCAGCCAATAAATGTATGTCGACTCCTTTTTCGTTTGCTTCCCAAGCAAATAATTGCGCAGCAAGCTGCTGCGTGTCTCCTGAGAAACGAACTGAGTTTTCACCTTTAAAGTCTACTTCACTTTCTGTATCTGCATAATTTGTCACGCATAGATCTAGTCTTTTAATCATAATATGCGGAGTTTGGTTCTAAATTGTGCAGATACTTGGCCGTGTCCTCTCGAATCCAGAGATTCTTCACAGTAATGTGCTGCTTGGAATCGACTTTTGTACCAGGCATGTCCACATCGTCTACATATTTATTTTCATCCTTGTCCGAATCTTGCTTGTCGTTTTCCTCCTCTGCATTGAGTTTCTCGGCAAGCATCTGCCTCTTGGCTTCTTCTATCTTTTGGTACTCTTTGACAATTGCTCTGTGCTTGGAAGGATCATCCGTCTCTCTTACCATTGTAGTTCACAGACAGTTCGGGTTGGATAAATTCATCCGGCGCTATCATGAAATTAGTGTACTTTGTGCCAACCCTACACAGTCTTTTCTTGTGAGTCATTGCGCCACAATTCTTACAAGCACCCTTACGATAGCCGTTCATGAGGTATCTACCTCGCGATTATACGAATCGTCTATTAAACTGTACTGCCTATGCTTTTCAGGTTAATGTAGTCGTTGGGTGCGTTCCGTTACTCGCATGATGCGCATAATGCATCGTTTATCCTTGTTGCTCACCAAATGTTAAACAAGGACAATGGATGCATCATGCACATCATGCGCGATACGGAACGCACTTTCTGATGCTTCAGAGTGGGACCTTGATGAAGGCCCGTCTACAATACACGGAGTAAGAAGTAAGAGTAAGAAATTGACCAATCACAGTCGATTATTCTTCTCACATTCGACTGTGATTGGTCAATTTCTTACTATTACTTCTTACTCCGTGTATTGTAGAAGACGCCGCAGAACCGAAGTACCATGGAGCAGTGTTGTTAAGTATGCCGCCTTTTTAGCACATGCGCACTATAGTACTAGTGACTTCTAGAGAAATCCAGTAATGTAAAGGATGAAAATCTGGCGGGGGCCGAAGCCGCGGGCTAAACTGTTCGTGGTTACGCGCGAGAATCGGAGAAAAGGCATATTCATTATATGTAATTTATTTCGCGAAAACAAGGAATCGAGAAGTACTAGACGAGTAAGATATAATATGTAGGCTGTGTTCCAAATTGACTGCCAGCACTGAAAATGCTACAGTTTACGTTGCGTGTACTATAAATTTTCAGTACTGGCAGTCAAATTTGGAACACAGCCGTAGAAGATAAGTATAGATTTGGCGGGATTTGGCAATATGTGATCACAGTGTAGATTACTTCCCAATAAGCAAGAAACATTTTGGAACATTTCAGTAACATTGTAGCAATGTTACAACGTTACTACAATGTTGCTGAAATGTTCCAAAATGTTTCTTGCTTACTGGGTTAACTTACATATATTGCCAAATCTCGCCAAATCTATACTTCTACATATTACATTTTACTCGTCTAGTGCTTCTCGATTCTTTGTTTTCGTGAAATAAATTATATATAATGTATATGCCTTTTCTCCAATTCTCTCGCGTAACCACAAACAGTTTAGCCCGCGGCCCCGCGCTTTCATCCTTTACATTACTGGATTTCTCTAAAACTCACTAGTACTGTAGTGTGCATGCGCTAAAAAGGCGGCATACCTAACAACACTGCCATGGAGTTGCGCTGACGTACTGCAGAATGTGCGGATTGATATCTTAAAGGCCGCAGCACACACTCTTGCATAACGCATAACGCATAGTGCATAAGCGAATCAACTAATCAGAATCTTTCCCTTCCTCACATTCCATGAAAAACAAGAACTGTGATTGGTCGATTCCTGTATGCACTATGCATTATGCGTTATGCAAGAGTGTGTGCTGCGGCCTTTAGTCCGGATCTACAATAGGAGGTTTTTAAGACTTAAGCCATAAGAAATGGACGAATCACAATCGATTATTCCCCTCGGATTCTACTATAATTGGTTAATTTCTTACGGCTTAAGTCTTAAAACATCTATTGTATATCCGAACTTAGACCGGATCTACAATAGGGTTTTAAGCCTTAAGCTATAAAAAATAGACGAATCACAGTCGCTTATTCTTCTCGGATTCGACTGTAATTGGTCAATTTCTTATGGCTTAAGGCTTAAAACACCTATTGTAGATCCGGGGTTACCCTCCTTGTCGATGGCCGCGAGGGTTGTATCAGCCTTCCTCGCTTCTTCAAGTTCTTTCGCTTTTCGCCAGTCTTTTCTGCTCTTCTTCCGCGGTTCATCGTCGAACGAACTCTTGTTCTTCAAGATGCTCGACATCGTTACGTTTACCGACGAACTGGCCATTTTTTCGATTCACTACTTAGCTTTTAAAGAGACTCATTTATTTACGTCTGAATATAAGGCTGTTTATGAGGTTAATTTTCTATTGACAGTAGCCAAAGTAGTGATGCGATGAGTCGAGTCCTGGACTCGTCAAACTCGATTCTTGAAGATACTCGAGCAACTCGAGAACCGAGCTGCGATCAACTCGAACTTCGAGTATTGTGCGAGTATTTACTGGGACTCAAACTTTCGAATCAACTCGAGTCGAATCGATTGGTTGATTGGCGCGTCAATGCAGTGATGGTACGGGCCGCTTTTCGTGCGCATGCGCGGCGTATGTGCTCTCAGTGAAGTATCTACGGGCCTGCGCACAATAGAGGAACAAGAATTAGATATTAAGATTTCAACCTATCAGAAACCGTGTATTCCGATGTAATCAGTTTCTGATAGGTTAAAATCTTAATATCTAATTCCTGTTCCTCTATTGTGCTCAGGCCCTAATACGAGTAAGAAGGAGTGCTGTAATCACCCATCAAATATAATATATTATATATTTTTATTTAATACAAATTTAACATTAAGAATAGGCTGAAAATAAGCTGGAAAAAAGGAAAGATAAGAATAACTTTATAAATACAATATTAATAATGACCTATAAGACACATTATTCTTAGAATGTTATGAATATAAAAAGGGTAAATAATATTCATACAATATTCTAAAAATATTGTGTGTTTATAGGGAAATAAATAGATTTATACTTACCTAAAACATTTCTAACCTCCTGTCTCCTGCCTCCGTTGAGCCCGTCAAAACTAGACTTTTGCGCCCATAATACAGACGCCCATGGCCACGGCCCAAGAAGACGAGACTGAGCCGGCTAAAGCGACTAGGCGAGCTCGAGACACCATTGGTTCACGTAAGTCTACCGATGCGCGTGCGCAAGAAAAGCAGCCCGTATATCATCACTGCGTCAATTGCTGGATTCACACTGTATCCGATTTTCGTCGTACGACGCTCTTCAACCAATCAGAAAATTGAATTCCGATGATATGAAGCAAAATCCATCGGAATTCTGTTTTCTGATTGGTTGCAGAGCGTCGTACGACGCAAATCGGATGCAGTGTGAAACCAGCAAATTACTACATTTAGGGTGCCGTCACATGCGGCGTAACTTGCGTAAGCATAACTTGCGCCGACCAATCATATCATTTCACTTGAACATCAGTTTCTGTCTAGTCACTTTATGCTTTTTACGCTATTTTGTTGTTACGCCGAAACATGATAGAACCAATGCGTCGAATCTAATTTCTGGCTCATTTTAGCTTATTCTGTCTGAAAAAATGCACAAGGGTTTCGATTTTGCAACAGTACACGGTAATTGATTCTGTCCCTCGGAAATTTTCACAAAATGAGAAGTGAGCACCTTTCTGTATTAATGTTCACAATCCATGCACGATTGATGACGCAAC